TGGAGCAACATAATGAGGAAACGAGAAAGGTGTGTAGTAAAGATGGGCAAAAGATTCAAACATCTCTCAGACTGCACCCTAAAGTGACAAGAACCACAGTGAAATTCCTCAACAGGGACCTGAACCTCTCCCATTTCCTGCAGAATATAGGGAGATGGGAAAGTTTCGTTCTTGTTTCAACATGCCCTGCTTGAACACACAATCGGTTTGTTGGCTTGTGTCCACCAGAGATATTCTTAAGTTTGCCCCAAGTTCTGCAATTCCCCCTGCATTGGTCTACGGAGGAAATTTGTCTGGATTGGAAGCATGGAATGTCACAGGTTTCATCTGTGATAACTGCTGTTTGTGTAGTGTTCCTGTTGACATTGACTGAGCAGCTAATGCGAATCCAGATGGGAACTGAGCAAGAGATGTTACGAGAACACTGCCCATCCACCAAAGTATGTATTTTGAACACACAAAGCATGCTAAGAAGCTTGAAAAACCCAGGTCAGCTAACAAGGTTCTCTTCTCCCTTTTATCTTCACAACAACAACCACCCAGTGGGGTGCCTTCGGCTGAGAGTCACCAACTGGCCCAAATGCACTTGACTTCATGGCCAAGTGGGGACTAGGACCCAGGAGGCCGTCTGAACATGTGAAAACTCCTTTTCCTTCCAGTGACTACACAGAGGGGCAACAAGGAAGAGGCCACTTAATTGTCTACAGGGTGTTCCACCTGCCTTCTCATAATATTTTCTGGGCATCAGTGCAGAAGAGGACAAGGAGGACCATGGAATATCATCAAGCAAACTTACCTTGACTGGTGAGAGCTCATGCTGGATCAGCTTTTTGAACTCACCCTTCTGGAAGTTCTCTGTCTCCTTCACCTTCTTCTGACTGGCCTTGGCATTGCTGTCCATCATGTCCATGAAGACTTTGATCAGCTTGGACATGTCTGGATGCCTGAGCGATGGCTCCTGGAGGGAATCGAAGGAGGCTGAGCTCAGGGCACCTAAACTAGGAGATGGGAGAGGTTGCCAACAGAGAACCTAGGTGTCCTTAGCCCACTCCACCCTGGGTGACTAAGTGTCCAATCAAGAATGCATACCACTTCTGCCATGGGAAAAACAAGGAAGCAGAGGGCTGAGAGGTGGAATGACTATGATTCACTGCAGCTGTGCTACATAGCTTCTCTCACACCAATTACAAATGATTGCCAAAGCATTTAAGGGTGTGATGCTACAGGTTCTTATCCAGAGTAAGGTTCAGTGAGGAACTAAACAAGCGTACCCCGACCTGGTTCCCTCCAGCTGTGCAAAACAGTTCTGTCATTTCCAGCCACCATGACCAACTTGGAATACACCAGGTTGGGCAAGGCTGGGTTAGGGTCTAAACCAGAAAGCCCAGATGCAAACTGCCATGATTCAGTAGATGAGATTGGGCAAGCTACTTTCTCTTAGCTGTGGGGTTTCCTTCTGCAAGATGAGGCATGATAAGATGAGCCTAATTTACACGATCAGCGATTTTGTAGCACTGCATTTTTCTTCTGCTCTTGACTTAGTTAAAATTGTGCAGTTTCACGTTCTTCTCCGCACCCCACATAGGATGGCTGTAATCTTCTGGAATGGAAGCTTGCAGGGGTCCTCACCGGCCTTCTCCTTAATAGCATGTACATTATTCCTAATCTTGTTCTGCTTAGAAACAGTTTATAAAGCGGTCAGCAATATATGCGTCTATATATGATGGTGGTGCTGATGTGTATATTACATACCAATGTAACTGATTGTGTCTCGTCACAGCATCTCACCTGAAGATGTCCTCTGGGTTCCCCAAGCTGGTTGGAGGAGTTGAGGGTCACCTATCCAATTCTCGCTGGGTGCAGGCCTTCTTGGCTTACCAACAGTCCCAGGTTCAGCCCCAGAATCTTCAAGTTTGGAGAAACATGTGCCTGAAACTCTGGACAGCAGCTGCTGCCAGTCAGAATTGGCAACACTAGCCTAGATGGACCGAGGGTTTGAACCAATAAATGGCAGATTTCTGTGTTCCTATAGCCTTGCAACAACTTTACTACTTCACAGTAGCAGGCTGGACTAGGTGAGCTTTCACTGTGATCCCCACTACCACCTTCACTTCCTCTCCAAGTCTAAATCAGAGCTGGATATGAACAAAATCCCAAAACTTGCCCAGTTCAGCAGCAGGCTGAGTGGTAATTTGCAAGACCCCGGCCAGAAAAATGCACTTTGCAAGGAGCAGCTCCTTATGCCAAGCTGTTTAAGAACGTGAGTGGTGAATGATGAGGTTGCCTGCTAACAAAACCTGCTTTGCTGCTGATGTTAACCCATTCCTTTGTTGTGTTCTAGTGGCTCCCACCCAGATGATCATATGCCAGGAAGGTGAGTTACTTGAGCAGGAGAGAGACAGACAGGAACAGATCGGCTGTAAGCACATGACGGGAGTGTGACAAAACATTCTTCCTGCATGGTGGAAGAGAGAAACACAAAGGGAGTCGCCCAACAGTTTCAATAACCCTTTTATCATAATAGCAAGGATGGCTGGTTACTATGGCAGAGTTTCGTTGTTGGTTGCTTGAGAGGCGGCTTCATCTTCAATTGCATTTGGTCATTCAGATGGAGTCATTAAACACTAGCCCGTTGACTAAAAATGCACCTGTGATTTGTTAGCGTCTATTGTTTCCTGTAAGCAGTTTAATTATTTTAAATGCAAATACTTCTAATAACTGCAGAGAACAAACTCATCAGAGTATTACCAGTGTGTTTCTATCAGCATTCCTCTTTCTGTCCCATCCAGTTTCTGCATCAATCTGTGATTTTTTTTTTTTTTTTTTTGAGAAAACTGCCTAAAAATTTGCACTGGCTTTTAAAAACCATCTTATATGCACTGTATCTCAAACTGTGCAGTTTTAATGCACCTTAACCTAACACATACATATTTGCATACATCTTCATTTTTTGGAGTCAAGAATTTTATTGCACGCTTCAGAAAATGAAGAAAGTGTGTGTAGGGGGAAGGGGACTATATTCTGATACACAGGTAGATTTAAGAAGTGCTGATCAGCTTCTAGGATATATGGCAGAACAAACTCCACCAGCATCCCTGAGCATTAGTAACAGCAAAATCGTAGTTAACTGCCCAGAAAGTTTTGGCTACTCGATGAAAAGAAATCACAATTAGGAACTTAGAAATGTTGACAAAAAGGGTGCTTTCAAAACTGCCTCAGCCCTTTTCTAGATTTGCCCTTTTCTCCATGTAATGTCTAAGTAATGTCCCCCACCTCCTCCTCTCATGATCTCACCGCATTGTCCTGAGCTCTTGCATCTCCACAGCATTGATGCCAATGGCAGAGGGATGGGAAGCCAACTCCTGTGGTGCTAGGACAAGGAGAAGGGGATCTTTGCATCTTCCTAGGACTTGGAACAGAGCCCAGTAACTAACTAATGACTGGAACAGTTGATAAAGGACCAAAGTCATGTGTTCCTCCAGCGTCCTGCCTCCACCCGCAATCCGGCAGTCCCATCCTGGACTACTAATATTTCCAGATGGTCTTCCAGGGCAGCATCACATAAAGGCCAGAGGCACATAAGAAGCTGCCTCATCAGATCAGATCAGATCAGATCATGTCAGATCGAGGAGTGCCACCAAGATGGAAGCCTTCCGTCTGATGGGAACTTCTGCTCAGATCCAACCAGCAATGGCTGCACACCTCCAACTGGCTCATCTGGTTCTTGGGCCAGATGTGCTCCCATTTTGATAAGGACAGAGTTGTGCCCATCATCAAATCCAACCCTGCCCTCCCCTCAATACCAACTTCCTCACTTTCACTACCTACTCAGGATCAGACAATGGAAGCCAGCAATAAAACCAGGCGTCATTCACGTACTGATGCTATCCATGCTGAGATCATCCTGTGGTTTCATGGAGCTATTTAAAAGCAGCATCATTTACACATCCTCGTGCACCCCATTTCCAAAAGATTGAACTGCCTCACCTGAGGTTGACAATAAGAGGTTTAAGCTAAAATATACTGGGCTTTGGATATCTTTTGACAGAGCCCTCAAGAGTTTCTCCCAGATAGAATTCATATCTTGGACTGAAAGAGGTTTCACATGCCTGGACTAAATGCTCAGGTGCCTTTTTGTTCTCTCACAAATGAGGCAGAAGAAGTAGAAGCAGGTATCAGGAGTGACCCACAAAAAGGACCATCTATAACAGATGAGGATGAACTCAAAATAACACCACCAATCATGCCATGGTTCCAGACATAGGCCTGGTTCTCATGTTAGCACTAAGGTTTGGTCAATGTTTTCTGGATGATGGAGACCAACACAGGAACATTAATGCTTCCATTTGGGGTTCACAGTGTTTGGGAGAAAATATGGTGGCAACCTTGCCCTTACGCCATTCCTCCCTAGAGGAGGCTGACAGCTTGCCTCCTGCGATTTTCCCACATGTTGCATATGGCCTTCAATGCATGGCTGTTGGCCACAGGTGGATGTTACCAAGTCATATGTCATAGGAGTTGGTTTTATAGCTTGTTTGCTCGGATTTTAAGAAGCATTTGTGTTTGCATTGCTGGCTTAGAACATTTTCTGCTCTCCTTCCTTCCTTCCAGCCAGAAGTCTATTTCTGAGTTGACTGTCAAATATACCACTAGGAAATGATATGAACCCATCTACCAAGTCCATTTAGATGGTTCACCTAAATGACATTAGCCTTCCTGAGAACCTTCTTAAGTGGAGAGGCCAGGAAATGGTACCGGGAATTTATTATAATCTGTGCTTGGCCCTGTCCTAACACAAGACAACACCTCCTTGGAAGGAGACACAGACCTTCCAAGTCTAGGAGAATCTGGGAGACAGACTGAACCATTCTGACCAACAATTGTCATGTTTATTGCTAGGAGAAAGACCCGTATTGTTGCACAGTGCCCCTTCCTACTCTCCCTCAAAATCCACACCGATTCCAGCCTTGAAACTAAAAGCACAGGCTTAAATTTCAAAATGCAGACCTCTTATGTTCCTTTATTTCGAGCACCATTGTTTAGATTCTTAGGTCTCTAACACCAAATCATACAGACAAATACTTTCTCCAAGTGCTGGCCCTTACATAATCAAAATAGCACCTTCCCTGCATGCAAGGCGGCATCAACAGGTGCTGGAGAACCAGAAGGTTTTGCAAAAACAAATACAAATACAAATACAAAAAAAAACAATTCCCTAGTGGGGAAAAAACACTAAGGAGGGAAAAACAAAACTCTAACAGAATGGAATATTCTTGAGCTGAGCTAGCTAGCTGAAATAATTCAACACCAGAAAAATGTCTCCTCATTCTCTCCCTTCATCCATTCCGTTCTCTCCCTTCATCCGTTCTCATTCTTTCCAGAGAGAAAGGCAAGAAAAGTCAGACTCAGAAAAAGTCCTTCTCAGTGGTGCTTATAGTTTGGCCACTTTGCAATCTCTGCACGGACAGGTTCTCCGGGGGATATGGTGCTGCTGATGTCACTGTGCGCTGTGATGAGGTAGTAAGGATCCAGGTAGCCAATCTTCACAGAGAAGTCAAGCAGGCACTTCAGGGCTTTCCATGCTGCTGGGTTTGGAGATCTCTCTAGAAGACAAAAAGGCGAGGCCAAAACACCACATGCTCTTATAAACATGTTCCTTTGGTATGCAAAATGGCCCCTGCACCCTTCTCTAGACCTGTCCTCTCCAACCTGCTGATTCCAGAAGGCTAAGGACAATGGGGACCCTTGTCATGGGGTCCTCCATGAGAAGATCTTTAAGAAGAGTTTTGTGGTGCACTGGACCTTCTGCCTGACCCAACAAAGCTCTTTTCTTACCTGCTTCCAGCATGCAAAAATACATAATTTGAGGAAATAGTGTTCAGATAAATGTTTTATAATAGGGAAATGCCTTTTAAAAGGAAGTAGATTAGGCAAGGAGAAATTAACATAAAGCACTAAGGATTTTCATGCCAAATTTCTATCCGTTTCATTCTCACCATTGAGGTGAATGGCCCTTCCGCCTGGAGAAATTCATAAAGTTTAGAATGAGACCACCTTTAGCCTCAAAAACATGAGGAACTGGAGGATTCCAAATCTAAGAGTGTCATCCTTCCTCACTCTGTTGCAAAGTTAGTGGCAACATTGGTTGTTTCATGAAATAACTCGGGCAATGGTATTCACACAGAACACCCAACACCACTTCTTTAAAGGTATCACAACCTTCCCCCTTCCCAAGGGTCTACAAACATCTGGAGCACTGGCCATGCAAGCCGGGGCTGATGAGGAAGGAAATCTGAAACATCTGGACTGGGGGTTAGGGTTGGCCAGAATCATTTGTTCCATTTGAGTAAATTCTCACTCCAAGCAGAGAGAATTATATAGCTATGCTGATGGTTACTGACCGTGGCCGCACTTTATTCTCCAAGCTGTGGATAAACTTACCTGTGAAGGAACCTATGAAAGCAATGCCAAGAGACAAGTCGTTGTAGCCATAGGTGTGGGATCCTTCACTGCGCCACCCTCGTCCTTCATACACGTTCCCATCTTCACCAATCAGGAAACTGCAAGGGGGCAGAAAGAGAGAGAGAGGTTCTTTGGAGAGCTACTTTCTTGATCCTATATAGAAATCCTTTAAGACTACATATATATGTATGTTAGTCACGAAATTGTGTCCAACCCATCACGACCCCATGGACAACCTTCCTCCAGGCCTTCCTGTCCTCCACCATCCCCCGGAGTCCACCTAAGCTCACACCAACTGCTTCAGTGACCCCATTCAGCCACCTCATCCTCTGCCGTCCCCTTCTTCTTTTGCCATCTGTTGTTCCCAGCATCAGGGTCTTCTCCAGGGAGTCCTTCCTTCTCATTTGGTGGCCAAAGTATTTGAGTTTCATCTTCAGGATCTGGCCTTCTAAAGAGCAGTCAGGGTTGATCTCCTCTAGGACTGACCGGTTTGATCGCCTTGCAGTCCAAGGGACTCACAGGACCTCCTCCAGCACCACAGTTCAAAGGCCTCAATTCTTCGGCGTAAGACTACATTTGACAGTTCTTTTAAATAGGTGGAAAGGGAAGGCAAATGGAAGAGAGGAAGTGTCCAAGTGGGAAACTTTACATACCTTTGAAGCACTTCAGAAGTAGGCCTGCATCACATGGTCTAAAACTGTAGAAATTTCAAGTTGAAGAAGCCAAGGAAGTAATTTGGGCAACCCCTCTGCTCCCTGCAGAAACCTTGCATTGACGGCATTCTTGACAGATTGCTTTCTACCCTCTGCTTCAACTTCTCCAACAATGAGGAGTCTCCTAATGCTTGAGGTGCTCACTTCCACAATAGAATTGGTCTTGCCATCAGGATATCTCTGCTGATGTTTAGCCAGAATTCTCTTCCCTGACATTTTCAGTCCAAGGCAAAACAGTCCTAGGGCATGCTAAACTCCTAGCTACAAGACACACAAACTATCTCACTCTTTTTCTGTGTGTATATCTAAAACCAGCTGGTCTTTAGTATTATGGAGACAGAAGGTAAAGTATCTGTTTCATTTTGGATTGTTAGACAGATGGAGGTTGTTCCGCTATTGAGTTCATATTAAAAGCAGTTAGGGTACAATCTTTTGGCCTCCTGATGTTGTGGCAGAGGGGGCATAGGAATATTCAGAGCCCAGCTCCAAGATCCTGCAGACTTGCAACCGAAAGTCTGAAGACAAGAGCTGGACCAGCTGCCACTGACCCTTGGAGAAGTGGAAAGGGGCTGTGATGGGGGCAGGAAGGAGGTGAGGCTGGGGATGATGGCTTATGCAGACCCCTATCAGCACCCCAGCATCCTTCCCATCCCCTCCTCAGCACATCTGCTGGATGGCATGGAAACCCAATGTAGGTTGCACATGCGGAGCGATGCCACCAGCAACAAAGATTGCCACTACGGTGTCTCCCTCCTTACACTGAATGTGCAGAGCAGCTCAACCGGAGGCTGTTGGAGTGTGCCCTAGCCACCATTTGAAGGGTCTTGGCCATCTTACTTGTAGGCAATGTCACACCATCTTTTGATTTTCAGGTGGTAGTCCTGGACCCCCCTTGTTTCCCTGCTGCATTCGACCTGCGTCTCGCATGATGTTCCAGCCGTGTGGATGATGATGACATATTCAGGCAAGAGGGTCTTCAAAGGGGCTGAGCAGTTGGCGAGGTGAGCTCCCCACTTGGATGGGGTGATGAGCTGGAAGCAGGCTGCAGCTGGGGGAAATGCAAGGAAAGAGCCATGAGGGACCTCTTGACAGCTCGGCCTCCTCAGCCCTCAAGATCTTAGTCCCACCCCAAGCAAGCAAAACCTCCAGGATACCCTCCAGACTGCAGTGATTGCTCTCCCAGGCACTCTGGCAGCTGGCACAAGAGTGCCCACAGGGTCTTTATGAACTGCCAATCTTCTTTGATCCAAACAACTCCAATGTTGAGGACACTGCCTGTGCCTTGACTCTTAAGCCCAGCCAGTTTCATCTGCACAGGAATGCACATTTTGGAGAATTCTACATTTTCAGAAGTGTACACACATGCATTTTCAAATGTGCACCATTATACAACTCTGCACATGTAAATGCAAGCTTGGGGGATTATGATGGATTTCCAATCATTAGACCTTTGTTCGCACTTAGACTCAGGGTGGTGGATAGGTCATGTTTGCAAATGTGAAGGGAATTCGCATGGGCCGCTCTCCTTCTATTACCATAATTGTGTCATTAGCATATCACTTGGCTTGATCCCACCTCCTGCGATGTCTGGAAGGTTGAAATAATATGCGAGGACTGACCCACTTAAAGCTACTCCACTTCCCCATGGATGGTCAACAGATACACTCCAGAGGAAAACCATTCCACTTGCCTCCCTCAACCTTCTGGTTGGCTTTCACAGCTTACCTTGTGACAGCACACACAAAACAAGAAGCAGAATCTCACGTCGAACCATCTTCTTGCTGTTAAGGTCTGGCCCAAACAGCCCAGAAGCAACCTAGAGGAATCCGATAATTGTAGAAGAAAACAGTTTAAGTCATTGTTTTATTTTGTTTCTTTCCTACATTCCAAGTCTGTGAGACTCCAGAATGGACATCCCCAACCTAGTACCTTCCAGGTCGGTACCCTCCAGGTTGGGGAAGTTCTTATGTTGAGGATTCCCCAGCCAGGCTGATGGAAGTTTGACTCCAACACATCGAAAAGTTTATCTTAGATCATACTGAGTCAGTATTTTGTCAAAAGTAGACCCTCTGGATCCATTTAAGGTTCAAAGTGCAGGTTTTGCCATGAACATTCATCAGGTCTGGAAAACAAATTAGCTAAGCATCACCTGTCTCCACAGGTATCTACCCAGTTATTAACACAGAAACATAGAAACAGAGGGAGTCAGAAGGGGCTTCCCGGGCCATCTGGTTTGACCCCCGGATCCAGCTGGCTCCACTCACAACATGCCCACCATGTGGACATCCAGCCTATCCTTGAACACCCACACTGATGAGGCCTCAACGACCTCTCGTGCAAGCCCAGTCCACACCCTGGGGGTCCTGACTGTCAGGAAGTGCTTCCTGGCATCCAAATTGAACCTTGGTTCCTTGAGCTTTGCTCTGTTAAGCTCTTCCTTGGAGACCCTTTGCTACCCAAGATGCCCCAGGTAGCTACTCCAGGAAAGTGGCACCCTGACCGTGGAATGCCATCTCCAGGGCTGAAGACACAAAGAAAATAGGAGTGACAGTTCTTTGAACTTGTGATGGAAAGAAGTGATGCATCTCTGTGTGAAATTCCTTCAGCAGTGATGAGAGAGTGACTGAGTACTTCCACTTTTCTCCTATGTTAAGGTCCTTTCTATGCAAATAGAAACAAACAAAATTCGCAATCTTATATAGACTCAAATCAGAACACGCTTCAAGACAGAATTTGTAAAACTTTGGCAGGTTCCAGGTTTGCCAATTTACACAATTGCTCCAAACTCTTCCTTCTGTCCCCCTCCTTCTTTCCCTAGACAAGATGCGAGAACACATACAGCACATGATGGGCATGTTGTGAGCGGAGCCGGCTGGAGCTGGGGGTCAGACTAGATGGCCCAGGAGACCCCTTCTGACTTGCTCTGTTTCTATGTTTCTAACACACAATTCACACAGATTTAGCCTGAAGACAAATTCACAGAGGAAGAAAGATCTGGTAGTGGCTTAGGTCATCGTGCACGTTCTTTATTTTGGTTCTCCTCGAGAGCAATTTCTTGGGAGGACAGAAACAAGCTAGTTTATCCTCTTCATGCCCTCTCTGTAGGCCATGTACAAGCATCTAGTTAATCAGAATGCCAGACTGAATGGACCTTTGCTCTGATCCAGTTTGGCTTACTAAATGCTCTTGAGTTAGACCTAGAATACTTTAGCTGTGCTTAGTTCCCATAAGAATTACTTGAGATAAATCTGTGAGCAGAGCGTATGAGGGGCGTTCAATGTATTCTCGGTATCAGCATGAAGAAAAAGGAATAATAAATTGAAATAATTTTTATTTTTCAATGTAATCCCCCATAACTTCAATATACTTATTACATCTAGAAATTAACTTTTCAATTCCCTGTAAAAAATACCCTTCCTCCTTGTCTAAAAAATTTGCATTAATTGCTGCCTTGAGCTCTTCATCATCGGAAAATCGCTTTCCAAGAAGATCTTTGTTTAAATTCAGGAATAGATAGTAGTCACTGGGGGCCAGGTCTGGGCGATGGGGTGGGTGGTTTATTTCTTTGAAACCACAGTCTCGCACAGCAGTCTTCAAAACATGCACCATGTGAACGGGTGTGTTGTCATGAAGAAGCAACACACCTGCAGTCAGTTTTCCCCCAGTATTTTTCTTTAATTGCTTCTCTTAAACTGCTCAGAGAGGTTGCATAAGATGCTGCGTTTATGCTTTCACCTTTTTTCATGTACTCAATCAATAAAATTCCCTTTGAGTCTCAAAACACTGTGGCCACGATTTTTCCGGCCGATGGAGTGACTTTGAATTTCTTCAGAGGGTCAGCACCTTTTTTATGCCACTGCATGGACTCCTGCTTATTTTCAGGGTCATAGTGATGAACCCAGGTTTCATCTCCACTAACAATCCAGTCAAAAATACTCGATGGATCTTCACCACAGAGCTCTAAAAACTCCCTACAGCACTCGACTCGCACTTGTTTCTGAGGCGCCATGAGCATTCGCAGTACCCATCTTGCACAGACCTTGGAAAGGTTAAGATGGTCATGAAAAATAGTAAATATGGTACCAACGGATAGGTTTGTCATCTCTGCTAACATTTTGATTTTTATTTGGGCATCTTCCAATACAAGTTTCTCATTTTTTTTCACATTTTCTTTCGTAGTGGCAGTAAGCGGCCCGCCCAAGCGAGGTTCGTCTTCAATGCTTTCTCTGCCCCTTTTAAATTCACTTGACCACTTTTAAACAGTAGATAATGAAGGTGCAGAGTCCTGGTAAACGGCCACCATCTCTTCGTGAATGATTTTTTGACTTTTCCCTTGTTTTGTAAGGAACTTAATCACAGCTCGGTGCTCGATTTTCTTCAACAGTGTCGCGTCAGTCATCATGGTCGTCTTTCACTGAGGATTACTAGGGAACTAATGATCACACTTATTTGAAATGTTGCACGTATACCCTCAGAAAGTGTCCTTAGCTAATGGAATAATTAATTACCCGCATCAATAGCAAATCAACCCAACACTGAGAATACATTGAACGCTCCTCGTAACTGACTCAGTGAAGCTCCAGTCCTTTAGACAGAGGTGGGCGATTTGTACATCTCCAGATGTTTTAACCAACAATGCCCAAGGAGGAGAGCTGGGAGTTGTAGACCAGAGCACCTGAAGGTCCACCCCACCCCCTGTTCTCTTCTCCTCGTGTCAAGTTAGCCTCCCTCTCAGCCATCGCATGCCAAACAGCAGAGATATTTGAGACTTACCTGTGACTTGTTCAAGCAGAGCCTTTCTGAAGAAAGCACTCAGTTTGCCACATATCTTCTTTTTAAAGGTGGGAAGGAGATTATGGAGAAAATCGGGATGTTGAAACAGATTGAAACAGAAATTCCCCTGGGTGAGGTTCCACTGCAGGGCCGTGTGCAGAGCTAGATGGTGAACAGGGAAGTGATGTGAAAGTTATGAAGCCCATCCGGTTTTCCCGCAAGGAGGCATCCATGACTTACCAGAGCCAAAAATAGAAGAGGTGAGCATGCTCTCTTCCTCAAGGTTTATATAAGAGACCCACTCTCAAGGAACACATCTACAAGGTCAGAACAACATGTCACCTTAAACGCAGTCTTTTGAGAAGAGTGGCATGATCCAACAGGGTTTCCACCCAGGGAAGAGAAATTAAATTAAAGCAGTGATGCACTGGAAATTAAGCAGAAGAGCTGGAAGTCCCAGATAGTCTCACTCAGGACTAGAATAATCCCCAACAAGACTCAAATGAGGTTGAATGCTAGGAATTAGAACCCACAGATTCCATGCTTCCTGTGTCATGTGCATTCCTCAGACTTGCAGGCCACATTTTAATTTTATTTTTACATAATGTTACACAAATCAGCCAAAGGAAAATGTGTTAAGTAAAAACAACTAAAACCATGCATTTCCCTATGAAATGCTAAAGCATAGAGATAAGCATTGCAACAGGCATCTACACATATTTCAGGATTTCTGCATTGTGGCAGATCAAACAGCTGCCTAGGAAGGCCTTGAAAATTAAATAATTACATATTATTATATGCAAATAAATAAACAGGTCGATGAAATCTCAGCAGTATCCAGTCTGTCAGTGAGGGGTCAATGGGTAGAAAGATGGCCCCCTTGGGAGAGTTTGCTCTGCAGCTACGACTTTCCTGACCCTTGGCCATGTTGTCTGGGGAGGATGGGAGGTGTACTCCAAAAAGTCTGGAAGGCACCAGTTTGAGGAAAGAAAAGGAAGATAGGAACAAGGAACTCCAGCCATCCCAGACTGTGACTGCAATGTCATGGTACACCATTGGTCAATAGAGAACGTTTTGCAAGAAAGGCCTGTGGCTTTGAATGTGTAGAGGGGGAAAACTTCACCCACGGCAGTCTTTGACTTCAAGTGTATTTGTATGCTTTGTTTTTTAAGAATTCCCTTTTACATGTGCCTTAATCTAAGGCAAGTGTGTGCATGGGGGTAATGACGTTTCAAGCTCAGAAATATAGGGACTTTGGCTGCAAATGGCACCCAAGTCTGTGTTTGGTCCATCCTGATTCAGCACCAAATGGAAAGGACTACCTTGTGCATCCCAACACAGCCCAAATCTGGTATGAAAAGCCACCATGCAGTTCTGCCTGCATGATCCTATTAAGCCACAAGGTGGCACCAAAACATCGCTATGGACGTGACATTTCCTCCTTTTTTGGAAGAACTCACACACAGGGAGGGAGAAGAAAACAGGGAGGGAAGGTGCCTCTTTATGCTTTGGTTTCTCTCCCAAAGCAAAGTCAAGCCGTGCTGGCCACATCTGGATCAAACCAGAAATCTTGGCACTTCCCAACTCACTCAGGAGTTCCTGGATCTCTCCCTGATTTGGCTGCCAAACAAGCTCCCCACTCAATCTAAATGATGGTTATAAACTTTTATAGTTTATATATATAAACTATATAAATATTTCCACCCTCTCTCTTTATTCACCTACTGCCTGCAGTTTTCCCAGGGGTCCCTTGTCTTTCGCTCTGTATGTCCTGTATAATTTAGCTCTGCTCGTTCTTTATACTACCACGATTATTTCAGGCAATCAAACAAGAAGCGGGCAAAGGTGACGAGAAGGCGCCATCAGGAGACTTTAGCCACAGGGCTCTGCTGAAGTGTGGACTCTCAGCAGCCGTCCAAAAACGCCATGACCCAAGAGATGGACTTGGACTCAAGCGATCTGGAATCCAGTTTCACAGGGAGATTTTGGGCCAAGCGCTCACTTTCAGTCCCACAGGGTTGTTATGAGGATAAAACAGAGAGGAAGAGGATTATGTAAGGTGCCTTGGACAGCTCACATAAGTAGAAAGTGGGGTATATATGCAATAACACTTCAGTCATTAGAATAATGCCTATCTATCTTGCACCCCCTGGTCTTCCACCTTCCCCAAAACTCAGGCACTCACTGAACGCAGCAATTCCCTACCCTGCACGGGTTTATTTCTCCGAAAGAATACTTTGTACTCCTGTCCGCCCTGGGGTTCCCCACTCCTCTTGACCCTTCCATCTTGTGCATGAGTAGGACCACTGTGGCTAATTAGAGAATGATGCTCTCAGCATGAGCATCAGACATGCAGCAAATTATATGCTGGATACTTTTCCCACAGCCATCAGGAATGCCAGCTCTGCAGAGACAGGGATGCCACTGTCAGCAGAAAGGTCCACCCAAGCGCCCACTAATTAGCTGGTAGCCTTTTCTCCTGGTTCTCAGTGCATCCAAAGGAACCATGCCTCCTTTCAAGTGGCATCTCTCAAGAACCAAAGGCAGCATGGCCAGTGGTTTGAGATAAGGTAGAACCCTGAGAAGGTCTTGGGCTGACTACCCTGCTCAGGTTTGAAAGATGTCTCTAACCTGGAGGAAGAGAAGCATATGACCAGCAGAGGGCATTGCCTTCCGGAATGAGCTGCACTTACCACAGCGGTGGTGAATGACACTACACATGACCGTCAGCTTGTTACAATAATCTGAACTGTGGCATTTCTTCTGGCCCTCTGCACACACACCAGCTTGAGAAGGGAGGACTGAATTGAATCTTGCATTGCACAAGAGTTCCTTCCATTGCCTGCATTCATGGACTGGGAGAAGGCCCAGTATTTGCTCTCTGTCTTGACACGGCCTTATGGAGGAATGTTTCCCCGTTCAGGTGAAGCCAATAAAAAGACTGATGCTCGAAAAGCTACACACCCTGGCCCCCCGGGACAGCCCTGACTCAAGGAAATCACCCAAGGGTGCCACCACTTGCCTTCGCAGAGGCATACAGGAATTGCCTCACGTGGCCGTGTCCTGTTTAATGGCTTGTGCTTGTTCTTGGGTGAAGTTTTTATTTGCCCAACATGAGAGTCTCTTTCTTAAAGGTCATGCGGTTGCGCAATCTGCCCCTGCCTGAAGGGATCTGGTGAATTTTTCCACCTTGTAAATTTCCAGACCAACTGTTCAGATCACTCCAAAGCCATGTCTCCTGGGGAGTAAAAGCAGAAGAGGAGGGCAAACCAGTGCCCTCTCTTTTGCACTTTTAGAGTGCTTTGGAAACATGCGGCCAGCTGCCAAGTTTAACACCCCTTAATGCATTGGAATGATGCTACCCTCACAGAGCTGAAACTGAATGGGACCGTGAAAATGCAGAGGGGGGGGTATTTTTGCTCAGCCCCATTAAGTTCAGCTATTGATGGACATTTGCAAATGCCCAGCAGTTGTGAATCTGAGCTCCCAGCGGATGCAAAATTGGTTTGTAACTTGTTTTTTTTTTAAATCACAAGTGAAAGAACCATTTCAGGGACAAGAAAACTCCCCTCCAACAGCTCCAAGGCTTCGCAAGCTGACCAAACCCTCCAGCAATATTTATTCATTTATTTAGGAAATTTATAGGCCATCCATCACTGTCATCTCTGAACGGTTTACAGAATATTCTAAATCCTAAACAAAATAAATTAGCTATACCATGAACTGAGCATAAAATGGACATATTTAAAATAAATTAGGTAAATACATATGCAGTTAAAATTGATTGACATTAAAATATTGATCAAATAAAAAGGTCTTGACCTGGTGCCAAAAAGCATATAATGACGGCACCAGGCGGACCTCTCTAGGGAGCACATCCCATAGTTGGGATGAGATGAAAATGCCTACCATATTATGAAAGGGTGAGATGAAAATGCCTGCCACAACCCTGGTGGGAGATGAATGAGTAGCTGCTAGGAGCAGAAGCTTCTCAGTCATGGGACCTCACCTTGCGGAACACCTGACTGAGCATCAGACGCCCATCAGACTCCTGATACGGGTTCCGTGCGCCTCGGCAATTGACAGAAGCACAATTCTTTGGAGGGGGAACTTTGGGAGCAGGGAACACCAGGTCACTTCCTGCCACAGTGACAGAGTGTGGGACATGGAAAAAGAGGCTGAGGCCACGATTGCTCCAGCTTCGAAGGGCTGAATGATCAGGCCGTCCTAACCGATTGCGCGAGGTTTGTTTCCCCAGGCTTTCTGCCTCCCAGCGAGAAGGGGCAAGGGCGAGGCGAGAATCCTTCCCAGGCAGTCCCAGAAATGCTGCAGGGCCACATCTGCCACCTCAAAATTGTTTCACACACACCCACATCATGCAGAGGAGGCAGGGGACTGTTGTGTCCATGGGGGACCCTAATCCATTGCAGCTTTTCTTCTGAGCCTCATAGACACCATCCATGGTGATGGGCCTGTTTTGGAATATTGAGCTTAAAATGAACCCTGCAGTGGATGATGCCACCCGCTGGCCTTGGGGTCACCAGCCTTCTCTGACCTTCCAGGACTTGCAGAAGTCAAACAGTGCTTCAGTGGGGACTAGTTGAAGCAAGATTCGCAAGCCAGATGTTTTCCATGGAGAAGGAAGACGGCGCTGCAGGGCTATGGGTCAAATACAGACCCCCTAGAGCTCCAGGGTGGCCCTTCAAGGATTACCTATTATATTTGCATCTTGCCTAACCTTCCACCTGCCCTCCACTTTATCCTTACAGCAACCGTGAGGGAGATTACGCCGAGTGCCGGCCAAGTCCCATCCCAAAGAGATGGCTGAATAGGGACTAGAAACCAGTTCATCCAAGTCCAGTGCTCCCACCACTAGACCACACTGGCATTTCCTTGGACTTTGAAGTCCAAAACTGCAGGCTAAACTCACAGAATATGGAGGCTGCCACACTGGTGATGGGCTAGTCCAGGGAGTTACAATTGTTGTCGTTGTTTCATTATTGTTTATTAGACTTATATCCTAACCCCAAGTGTATCCTAACCCTTGTGAATTTAGGCTGAGAGCCAGAGACTGGCCCTCAGTTCCCAGTTCATAATGGGCTGAAGCCAGGCTGTGCTTGTGGCGTTGACCTCCAAGATTCAGCCCACAAAATTCTGCTGTATGGAGCATTTTGTG